GATCAACAACATAAGCAAGAAGTTTTTTCACTGTAAGTATTCCATATTTAAAGTACCATATTTAGGTGTTATTGTAGAGATCATATTCTATCATTAACCACCTTCATTATCACTAGTATTTGGGCTCGGAAACATTGATCAGTTCGATTAAACATTACTTTTTTTTGTTTAAAAATAGTTATTATGTCGTCTATTAATTGGAGAGACTTTCCCGCAACTAAACTACTAAGTATTTTCAAACTTCTCAAAGAGGATCGCAGTTTAATTAAAATTTTAAATACAAAGCAGTCCTTAATAACTTGTAGAGCATAGAAAAAGCCTAAAAATGGCGAAAAAGTGCAATGGAGAAAAAGGGATGGTGAAAAATGAGTTGGTTAAGTCAAGAACCATAAAAAAGTTTTGAAACACCGTTTAGATTATGGTCTATGGATTATCGACATAATTAATAAATTAATTATAAAACTTTATTGCACAATAAAATAGTACAAAAGGTGGACATAATTATATAAACTGATACTGAGGCTTAATGTACTGAAGTTTATTATATTATGCAAAGGTATGTTTAATACATAAAGCTATATCATCTTGGGAAACATTTGAAGTGATACAAAATTCGATTCCACGTTCAATTTCCGGAAGACGAATATTTCGGCGTTAATATTGAAACCTGTGTGCGCGTACATGTTTGAGTTTTTCTTTAGGGATTTATTCATGTGGCAGTGAAAATAAAAAAGAGAAAATCAATCGTATTACAATGCATTGGACTAGAGCATAGGTAGGTACATGGAAACGCTATACACGCACACCGAGAACGGAAATCAGGACCTAACATAATCAACAGCTGTTCCATTAATCTGTACCAGAGCGTTAGTGAACGAACGAAATCTAGCGTAAGACAAATGACGACGCGGCGGTACATTAAGCTAAACACTGTGGCATCTTTTGTAATGGTAACAGATGCTATTTTCCATCAAAAATATATACCATCCGATGTGCTCTCGACTATATTAGAGCGTATAGGAACGTGGTTGTTTTCCACGCTTGGTTTCTGTTTTCAGGATTTCTTCGTTCTCGTTCTCTGCTCACTGAAATATCTGGAGCGTTAAACGTAGTTACGTTATTATTGACAATTCTTCAAATAAGTGCAGATACGATACAAACCTTCGCCTTCATCTCCGCCTCAAGTTCCTCGTGAGCTCAAGTATTACGCGGAATAAAAGGTTATGACATATCTTCAGCCCATAATAAGTGTTGCTGAAGGGTTTCATTTACTCCAATATCCAATTTCCTACTTATAAGGAAAATATTGGTTCAATCAATGCTATCGATATGACATATGACTTACTTACAACAATAAATAAGATGTCAAATGATATACAGTGTGAGTCACGTTAAAGTGTACATGTGAAAATAGATTAAACTAGACCTATTTTTATCGACAAAAAAGAGGTCAAAAAATTTTTGAGATTTAAAAAAAAAAAATTATATATATTTTTTTCTTCCAATTACTTATTGTAAAGAAAATGTAATAACTTTTAAACTAAGAGGTATATCCATGTATTTTTGGATATACCTCTTAGTAATAAAAACCACCGGTTATCGGGGCATTTTTTGGAGAAATTTATCAAATAACCAAAAAAATACGAATTTAAAAGCAGATTTTTTCAAAAAGTATCATTTTTTATTATTTGGTGGCCTTTTTTGTGTATTTTATGTGTTTTTTTAGTATCACCTATTATTTAGCATTATTACTGTTTTTATTTTATCAGGATATACCGCTTAGTTTAAAAGTTATTACGTTTTCTTTACAATAAGTAATTGGAAGAAAAAAAATTCTATAAAAAATTTAAAAAAAATCTAAAAAAAATTTTGACCTCTTTTTTGTCGATAAAAATAGGTCTAGTTTCATCTATTTTCATATGTACACTTTAACGTGACTCACACTGTATATGTATATTGTGTGTTCAAATTACTTTAATACAGAAAACACCTAACTGCGCCAAAACAAGATCATATTAAATTAAATATTTTTGGACATTCTTTGTCCCAAAATAAGCAGAGCTTGTACTATGGGTAGATAACGGGTACAAACATACATATACTTTTGTTTGTAAATACATACATTTATAGATAGAAAACACCCAGTCCAATACCAACAAAATATGTTCATGCACACAAATGTTTGTACTTACTGAGTGGGAATCGAACCCGCGACCTCGGCATAGTAGTGCGTATTTTTCTTGTTTATCTTATTTTCTTTTTCCTTTTATTCTGTGGGTTGTAGCAGCCGTTACGTAATAAGCGCTATGGCATGTGGTATGGCATGGCTCTATAATATGACCGACCAGTTTAACGTGCTCCATGGACCACAGAATCATGTTATGTACTTAATTATTTCTAAGATCCTGATTGTTTTTTGGTAGTTTAACCAAACTATAAATAAATAAATGAAGATTAAACTATTTTTTTTTCCACTTTTAATGGAATCTCGAACCTCCCAAAATACTTCTTTTGCTATTAGTTTCCATACATTTGTAAGACATCTTAGTCATGTTCATCCCAGGTCAAACAATTACTTTAAAAGAATGAATCTGAAGAAAGAAAATGTTGATATCTAATTTTATTACGGTATACAAAAATCTGATACCTACCTACATCTAGTAATACCAAGCTTTAGTTAAATAATTTGGAAAACTTTTTGGTAATGCGAACTGCATTACGAAACGAAAGATTAATATCTATTTTAGGCTTAGTTTTAGTAAGACTTAAAAACATAATACTTACCTACCTCGTAAAACTTTAATATTAACTTCACTATAACTGGATTACCTTTGCCTACATATTTATTTTATACTTACTTGTATATAATATTCACTTAGTTAAGTAGCTTCAGCTCATAAAATCTACTGACAGAAATATAAACACTATGCTGTTATTAACATTAAATAAGAGTTAATATTATAACTGTGAGAATATTACCCACCTAATAGGCTAATTCGATTTCAGTATGTTAAAAAACCTACAGTATGTCCTCCTGACAACTGAATATTATGCCAAGTAAAAAGCCGCAACATTTGGGAGCAAAATATTCTCGCTGTTAATAAGATTTAGCTTAATATTTCACAATCCTACTACGAGTATTACTGTGGAAAGTCATTCCTTTTTTCTTTCTTTCTTCGTAAAATTCTTTAAATAAAGAGAAGTTTATCAAAAGCCAGGGAATAAAAAAGTTTTGTAGAATTCATGTCCACTGGTCCACATAGTACCTATCTATCAAGTTTTTAACCTGAATTCCTGAACAGCTGTCTTGTACAGTCACGGAATGAAAAGGTTCGTCAGTTTTCAAATTGATTACTTCAACGAATCGCGAGTACATATTACCTTTTGAAACTATGTTACAGAATAATCTCGAGTTAGAGAAAATAATCTTTAACTGTTCGTCAGTAAAGTTCAAAATTATTCAGATGTTGATGTCAAAGTTGTTTGACGATTTATCTTGTCAAGAAGATTATTATGATTGATAAACTAAAACCTTCTTGTTGGTTCAACCTGCCATTATTATTTCTATTAAATAAAAAAAAAACTATTGTCAATTGGTCAATGTCATCATTGCATTGCACTGATGGGCTAGAAAAATAAACAAGCAAAACCTTATTCGTTAGCAAACGTCATATTTATTTAAATGTTAGCAGCACTGTTTCTTGCACTGTTATGTTGGCAGGTTTGACTCTTACAGTACCTAGTGCAAGCGAAAACCGACACTAAGGTGACGAACCTTTTCATTCCGCGACTGTACTTAGAGAGGTCTTTTGAAACACCACATTTTACTTACAAGTTACAAATCCGTGACATTTACGATCCATTTGTTTTCGAACTTTCAGCGATTTGCTTTTGTTTCTGAATCAAAATAAGAAAAAAACTTGTACTTATTTGTTGCCAGTAACAAAAATAATAGGGATTTGCCCGAAAAGGTACTGTGCGTGCTTACCCCAAATCACGCCAGATGTTCCAACCAAAATATTTTTCGGAAAAGAGTTCTGAAGATTCCGCATCAAATTTATTCTGAAATTGAGACAAATGCTTACTTTGCAAAGCCTTTTGAATTATTAGTAATACAAATAACAAGTCCCAATTGAGATATAGTAAGGAACTTTATAACAATAGTTACGCGTGAAACTAAACTGAAATAAGTTATGAATAATATGAATTTATGATTTATAATAGCCATAATATCCTACGAAACTTTTTAGATTTGTCTTTTTAGAAAATAATTTTGATTTCAATGTTTTAAGTACCGTTCTTAGTTTTTAAATTTTGGACGTATAAACGTTTTTAATTGAGTCTGTCTTCATTCAGCTAATCGCTTTCTAAATCCGTGGTAGGCATTAAGAATATTAAGGAGTTTTTAAATAATTTGCTTAATTAAAATAAATTTGAAATTTTACGTGTTCTAATGTCAATCTAACGATGCCTAAAGTTAGCCTTATTTATAAGTCTACGAGTACGAGATGTTTGACGAGTCTTCTCTTCATCTACCTAACGTGAATCATTTTACATGGTGTAGTACCTATTCCCATTTTCCTTAGAATTAACAAACCTTTTTCCCAAACAAACCTTTTCAACCCTTCTCAAATCTGAAAACAAAAATATTGACAGCCATACTTTTAACACCAATCTCACTTTTCCCCTTAGAGATTAAATTTCGAGGAATTCCATCTAAAGCGATGCCTTTTAATATAAAATTAACACCCTTGCCAAAGAAGAATGCGCAAAATTGCCCCGGACCAGGAGAGTGTAAAATCAATCTCAGTTTATTTCATGTATAAATGTAAGATATGTGAAAAATTAATATCCAGGGACATCTATATTAATAATTTCGTCAAGGGGTACGGTAGACTGGATCGAAACCTTATATGAATAACAAAGCATAAAAAAATATCGATTTTGAGTCGACAACATATATCCGCAAAATTCGGATAATGGAGAATTTCGAGAATTAGGCAGTTAAGAATAAACAAGGCTCGGGCACTATCAAACCTTTTTCCTAAAAAGCAAAAAGCTGCTTCTGCTGCATCACAAGATTTATTTGATGACTTTCAGGTAAGTTAATAGTGTAGGTCACTGAGTAAAGTAAAATAAATATAGAGGTGGGAGGATACACCTACACCTACATACATTCACAATACTTATTATTATTTGAATATTTGTCTAAAAATAAAATATATTTCTCTTATTAAACTCAGCTCAGATGGTAAGAGCGCGACAACGGAGAAGTCGAGGATGTAGGTTCAATTCCTGCATGTGGTGTATTTTTTCATCACATCTTATTAAATTTGTTTAATAAGAGTAACACAATATAGCATTAAAAATTTAAATTAAATCTTTAAATTAAAGCTTTAAATTAGCTATTCATAAATATATTTCTCTTTTAAGGTTGATAACGAAGAGTTGACGCTAATCGAGGATTCATTGATGATTGATGATGCTTCTTCGGACAACAAGAAAAAACAGCAACTGTCAGTCAGCAGTGATGATGCTTCTTCGAACAACAAGGAAAAACAGCTGCTGTCAGTCAGCAGTGATTTTATTTCTTTAGAAGAAGAAGAGAAAGAAAACATATCAAATGGCGGGCAAACCCCCAAAAAAACGTAAATATTCAAGCAGGCTTAGTACAGAATATCAGCCCCCCAGGACTAACTATTTATATTTAGCACTTTCAAATAACACCATTCAAGTATCAGTACATTCAGTTGGTTCTATGATTTATGAATGTGTTCAATGTCAAGCACTTCATTTTTTAAGTGAAAAAATTAAAAATAATTTTAAAAATTGTTGTCATAATGGGAAGGTATACATAGATCCAGAAATATTATTAGATTATACAAAGGCAATACGTCTGATGCTAATCATTTTAAGGTTAATATACGACTATATAATTCAGCATTTGCAATGGCATCCATTAATTCAAACTTGAACACATTCCCTCCAGGAATTTTCACTTATAGGGTACAAGGACAAATTTATATAAAAACTGGATCTTTGGTTCCGTTGCAAGGTCATAAACCACAATACAACCAATTGTATATAATTGAAGATGAAGCAGCCTTAAATGAAAGATTATCCGATTCTAGAAATAACATATGTAAAAGCAATATAATGAGGTCCTTACAAACAATGCTCAATGAATTCAATCCTTTTGTCAAAGTATACAAAAAGGTGGCTGCAATTTTAGCAGAAGAGGAATTAAAAGCAGTCTCAGGAAATCGACCCAAATATTCGGTATCAATGCAGATTTATAAACATAAATCTCTGGATTTGCGTCGGTATAACACACCATCAAATAATGAGGTAGCGGTCATCTTTGTAGGAGAAAACGGTGAACCTCCATTAAATATAGACTTCTCTGTACAAGAATATTCTCAACATTTAACTACACTCAAATCAACCAGTCCCAATATTGACCCTTTAACCTTTCCTCTACTTTTTCCTAATGGAGAACTCGGATGGCATGAAAATCTTCAACACAGAGAAGAGAGTCGAACTGCTCGAAGCCGTCTTACAATGTTACAATTTTATCAGTATAGACTTCCTGTTCGTAAAAATTTTAGCCCATTATTTTACGCTGAAAAACGTGATTTTCATATAAAAAATCACGCGTGCGGACGCGTTGTCAGTGTGAAGTGCCGCGCGTGTTTTCTATACAAACTGAGGTACTTGCATACAATGATTAAATCTATCGCCCCGCGCTCCGCGGCGGAGCGCGGCGCAGTGTGATAACCGCCTTAATAAGAGTTATTTACATAACCTATATTAACGATTGAATTTGATTGTTTTGTTAATTTGTCTTAGTTTATTTTGACTGGTGATTTAAAATAAAAATAATTTGTGTAAAAACTTTTGCAGTTTTTATTTACCATATTTATTAAACACAACTAACGAAGCTATATGAATCTATATTTAATATTCTTTGAGAACCGATGACTACAGAAACATCTATCTACATTTTGCACCTAGAATTGTGTATTATGAGTCAAATTTCACCCGAGCGAAGCCGGGTTTTCATCTAGTTAATCTTATGTTCCAGTCTCAAATTTTATTTTAGCGCCCAAATCAGCAATCGCGATCTCATTACAGTTCCGCGAACTTATTAGGTAGTAAATGATTAGAACAAATTCTTACAAAAATATTTATCCTACTTCCTACTTATTATAATATATTATTGTCAGGATGTCTGGATGTCAACATGTTTGTTACTCTTTCACGCAAAAACTACTGAACGGATTTCGACGAAACTTTACAGTATTATTGTTTATAACACAGAATAACACATAGGCATAACATATATAACATATATAACACTGCACAACAGCATTTCTGATGATTGGGTTATGTTACATGATATTAGTCCAATTTTTAATGACGATTTCAAATCTGTGATTGAAATATCTGTATCAGCTCTGATTAAAAAAATATGACGCTTGGGTCTTTTTGTAAAAAAACACTCTTTTTTTAGAGATGATCCTATTTTATGAAGTTGTTAAGTTGAAAAAACTTTCTTTTATTTGACTTCCTTGCTGATGCTGAAGGCAGACAGCTCTTCTGAATGATTCAACAGCAGTCAGCCATCATGTGTGCATTCCAGTGGCCCTGATAGCGTCCGTCTATCGTACGAAGTCCCTGGTGGATTTGCTCGCCATGTTCTTCACTTAGATCCTTAAGAGTTGTGATAAAATTGTTCAGGTGATTGCGAAGAGAGTGTAATTCGATGTTTATATTACATCCAACCAAAAAAACATGTTTGTAAGTGACTCATACGTTGTTCGATGTGTAAGAATAGTAAGATTTTTTCGGATTTTCCAAAAAAAAAATTAAAATGCCAAAATAACTCATTCCATGACTTTTCGGAAGATTTTAAGATCCTAAATCTCGAAAACGATCGTTTAAACCATCTTGGCTACATGGTTTTGAAAATTTCGGGTCACATTCAAAGTCTCTACCACACTGACAGTTTTCGCCTCAAAATCCTCATGTGAAGTATCAACATGAGGTTCAGGTGACTTCTTAGGGTTGAAACGACATATACATGCCAAACGTATGCAAGGAATTACCATTTAGTTCAATATTTTTCGGCTAATACCATTTTTGTTCAAAAATAAAAATAACAGTCGTCGCGATGATTCAAGGGTTCCTTTCAGATCATAGCGGTTTCGTACCTAAATCTACACATATTCTTATTTGTTTATAAACGTAAAAACTCAACGCATCTTTTCCACGCCTTTTGCGGAATTCAAGGCTTATCTTTCATTTCCACTGGGTCCCCAAACGAATTTTTGTAAGCCAATTTTACGAACTTTGTCATATTTAAACGGATTATTTAAACATATCCTCTCCGCAAATGAAACAAAATTGATTTAGATCATTCACACAAACACTTTTTAATGCTACCATATTGAATTATACAAAGAAAACCTAGTATTTTTTGAACTGTCGGCGAATTAAGACTGAAATTTAGCAATTTTTGAGTGAAAGCTATAACACGTAAACAAGAGCTGCTACGAAAAAATGGACGGCAGATTCAGAATCAGCCACGTCAAATTAGTAAACATCATGTAATGAAAGTCAATCATCAGCCAAAAGTTGCAATTTTGTTGTGCAGTGTAATTTATGACGATATGTGACAAAAAAATCAATTAATGAATAAGACGTGATAAATAAAACTGAATTGATGTTCGTTAGTCTGATTAAAACTCGAGAACGGCTGGGCCGATTGAGCTGTTTTTGGTTTTAAAATGTTTGTCGTAGTCCAGGGTAGGTCTAAACGGTGAGCAAATACGCGCGCGATATTTTTTTCTGTGACAGACAAAATTCCACGCGGGCGAAGCCGCGGGCGGAAAGCTAGTACGAATTATATTCTAATGGGAAAATTACAGTCCTTCGTCGTTATAGACGAATATTGACTAATATTTTTTCTCTGTAGGCGTATTATAATTCAATATTATTTACTCGAGACCTGTATTAAGTAGTCCTGTAAGTTCAACGTATTCTGATATTATTATCTTCATATTTATTCATACTGAATAAGCTTGGAGATCGTGCTTTCAGTGAGATCATAGTTAATGATAATGTAAGAGGTTAACTACACCAATATTGTAAGAACGACTGTATGATGTAGGTAAGTATGTTAGCCTAATTTAGGTACCTATACTTATGATTTATTTATGAAATATGTCCATAAAATTAACTTCAATACAAATCTAGAATGTATAAAGTATCATTACAAGTAGTTAGAGTTCAAAAATATATGCTTAGATACAGACAGACGTTATTATTTTTCAAATTATATACCTACTACGGCATCGTTCATAGCTGCAATAAGGATTATACAGTGTGTCCGGGCTTGTAGTGATCAAACTTTAAGGGCAAAATCTAGGGACAATTTTATCGATAAAAATACTTCAAATTTGGGGCCTGACCCATTTCTCGAAAAATTACATCGATTTAAGTTTTTAATTTTTAGTTTACACCTCTTCTTTAAAAAACAAGTGAAAGCGTGGGTAGCTTAACATTAATAGGCAAATAGTTTATATCATGCGATAGCCAATAAAATTATCTATTAGTTGAAGAAGAAAGCAGACACAAGTTTCATACATTTTATGGGAGTAAGAATGGATTGAATTAGAAAAATACATTACTTTTTTCACTTCTTTTTCAGTTATTTTCCAACACAAGAAAAACCAGGTCGTTAAGGTATGTTTTATTTGCATTGTATTTTTAGTATTTGAGCTATTCTACAAAACGAATGTAAATTTATTAGTCTACGTCTATTAGTTTCGACGTAATTGTTGAACAAAGATACCCCTTCCCAGCGGTTTCCATAGTAATCGGAATAGGTTGTGTGATTCTTTCAGGCAGTGCATTTTCGCATGTCGCGTGCGCTATGGAAACCGCTGGGAAGGGGTATCTTTGTTCAACAATTACGTCGAAACTAATAGACGTAGACTAATAAATTTACATTCGTTTTGTAGAATAGCTCAAATACTAATAATACAATGCAAATAAAACATACCTTAACGACCTGGTTTTTCTTGTGTTGGAAAATAACTGAAAAAGAAGTGAAAAAAGTAATGTATTTTTCTAATTAAATCCATTCTTACTCCCATAAAATGTATGAAACTTGTGTCTGCTTTCTTCTTCTACTAATAGATAATTTTATTGGCTATCGCATGATATAAAATATTTGCCTATTAATGTTAAGCTACCCACGCTTTCACTTGTTTTTTAAAGAAGAGGTGTAAACTAAAAATTAAAAACTTAAATCGATGTAATTTTTCGAGAAATGGGTCAGGCCCCAAATTTGAAGTATTTTCATCGATAAAATTGGTTATAGATTACGCCTTTAAAGTTTGATCACTACATGCCCGGACACACTGTATAAGACTAGCTTTCCGCCCGCGGCTTCGCCCGCGTGGAATTTTGTCTGTCACAGAAAAACTTTATCGCGCGCGTCCCTGTTTCAAAAACCGGGATAAAAACTATCCTATGTTCTTTCCCGGGACTCAAACTATCTCTATGCCAAATTTCATCAAAATCGGTTGCGAGGTTTAAGCGGGAAAGCGTAACAGACAGACAGACAGACAGAGTTACTTTCGCATTTATAATATTAGTTGGGATTATAGTCTAGCATGCTGTCGACTATACACTAATGATTTTTCCATGTTTCAGCCATATGATTGTAAAAACTGCGAATTAGCATGATCACAGAAAATTAATAAGATTTATTATGTCTGTGAGCTTGACCTCTCTACAATAAGTAATCGTGTCTCTACAATATAAATGAGAGGTCTCGATGTAAGTAATTGGACGTACGACGGAAAACGATTTCCACGTACATATTTCATTTGGTATTATATAAATGTTTCACACGTTGCTTTGTAGGTAGGTAGGTACTATTCGTTTCCTTGAGCATGTAATACCTACATTCGACCACTCATTATTGCAAGTGTTGTTATCACTCATTACACCGTTTTCTCTAATCATCTGAGCAAATATCGACTCGATTAATAAGAGTATCGATTGTGCTTTAATGAACGAATCTCGAAAACCTTCGACGCTTCCAAGTTCGTATCGTAATGATGTTAAAAATAGACTTACTAAATATCGACGATGTAACCATTAGTTACATAATGCTGAAATCATCGACTGGGACACTATTTACTTAGTCCTACGTAA